ATTTAAGGCTGTTAGTTTACAAATTATAGACTGATATAAATTTCATGGAGAGATTTAATAAAAGTACATGATGAGACAGGTGTGCATTGGATACAATCCCAGATTAAAACAACTGTATCTGTCTGTTTGTCTAAAAGCTATTCGGCGCAATTATTTACGGGCGTTTACGTCGGGAATTAATGAGATATTCACGAGAGTAGCTAATTGATACTGTCCGAGGTACGATCACTGTTGTTCTTTGTCTGAAAGAAAAGAATTGATCATGGTATGTGAATGAATGGAAGAAAACTACCAGAATGAACAAACGAATGAATGTTGCAGATAGTGGCCACTTCACGGTGCTATCTTGTGCGAAATCAGCTGGTTTAACTTCGATTCCTCAGCTACTGTGAGCCTTATTGCAATTGTTGAGATACTTATATTATTATACAAATCGAAATGTTCCCCATTCATTCTTATTATTTTTTTTCAACCGGATGGAGGTAAAACTATTTGTGAAAAATGTCCCTGTGAACCGCAAATGGAATTTCAATTAATTAAATGCACCAGTTGACCTTCATAAAAACAAAGAAACAAACAAGGTAGTACTCCATAATTGTAACTTCCATGATGAGATATAATAGGTTGAAAATCCATAATTCACAACCTCGATCAACGTTTGGTAATTTCAAGCAGAGTGGAAAAAGACGATGGAGATGATTGTAGTGTAAAAAATGCTCGGATTTTAAATTGAATGTATTTACGTGACTGTGGTGACCATTATCAATCCTAAAAAGCTGATACAAATAGTTGTAAAAGTGGTTTAACTGAATTGAGTGTTTAGTGACCAATCAGCATTCTACCCACGGATAACACAAGACAGAATGAAAATGGTTGATTAGCTCGATGTATCTGCTTAAGAAGATAAAAAGGAAATCTGTCCTACTCGAACGTTCACCAGTAATATCACAAGTTGCCTTTCTGATAGTTGTTTATCGGGTATGCATGACGCAGTCATCGAGCAATTTACATTTAAAGGAAGCTTTGCATTAAGATCCACTGTTTTCAAATACCCTACATCTTTCTTAGTATTCAGTCTGTTATTTAGAATCATAATCCTTGGGTATTATTGATCAGTTGCTTCTCAAGGTTCAAACTTAACACCATATTTTTGAGGTCAGATTAGGCCCATTTCTTACAAGTAGCAGGTATGGATATCTTTAGCTGACCGATTTCTACCACCGTATGTGTGCTTTGCAGCTTTGATCGTTGGTATGACCAGACACGATGGATACACGCTGATCTCAGTTGGATCCAGGACATCGTTATTATTCGTTAGAACCGAAAGAAGACAAATACTGCGAGATGTTAACATTTCTTTTGATATCTTCAGTCGCTACAATGTAAAACAATCTGGTATTTAGACATGCAAGTTTTGATAATTACAGTGGTCAAACGGACAATAGTCAGGGGAGCGGGGGAGAGGCTGGGGTGGGAAATCAGGTCCATGGCAGTCTAACTGATGGAGTAAGAAAATTTTGTGCACGTAATATTGGATTACGTAACTTGATTAGCATCGCCTCGCTAAACGCCAAACTCCTGGGGTTCAAGTTACGTAATAATGGCTTGAACGACATTTGTGGGTCAACGATGTGTCCAGTTGTCATGAGATGTTTTGCGATTGATGATAAAGTCACACAAGAATTGCGAATGATGTCCGAATTAAAATTTCTTAAACCCGACAAATCCTATGGGGGAGTTGTCATGACCAAAGAAAGCTATAAAGAAAAAAATGAACCAAATATTGTCGGATGAGAGCAAATTCAAAGTGGACAACACGCCCGATAACAACAGTCTCACAGAAAATAATGATTACCCGAAAGCTTCAGATTCTGTTATTACACGGTTACATCTCTGAAGCTGAATACAAAAATCTGAAACCACTGGGAACAGAGGCACCCCAGATGAGAGGCTCAGTGAAAATTCACAAAGCCTCAGACTTGTCTTTAAAGGTGATCGTATAATGAACGACGTGCGTCAAAAGCTCAAGGCGACACTGTGTTGAACGTTTCCTGCCGCACAGCTTCGATTGATACCGTATACCCAAGGACTTCGTTTA